TATTATTATTGTTGTTATTGTTGCTGTTATCGTTATCATTATTATTACTGTTATTGTTATTGCTATTATTATTTTCATTGTTATTGTTATTATTGTTCCTATTATTATTATTGTTATCATTATCATCATTATTATTATTATCATTATTATCATCACTATTATTATTATTGTTATTTGTTATTTGTTATTTATTGTTATTATTATCATTACTATTACCATTGCTATAATTATTATTATCATTATTATTATCATTATTATCATTGTTATTGTTACTATTATTATTATCAACATTACCATTATTATAATAATTATTGTTGTTATTATTATCATTATAATCATTATTATTATTATCATTATGATACTAATTACTATTATGATACTAATTACTATCATTATTGTTAATATTGGTAGTATCATTATTAATAATAATGGTAATGATAATATTAATATTATTATCATTATCATTATCGTTAATATAATCAGTGTTATTATCATTCTAATTTTGCTGACTAATATTATTAACATTATTAATATTATTATTCTATTATTATCATTTGTTTATTATTATTATCATTAAGATCAATATTATTTTTATCATGATAACATTTGATCATAATAATTATGATAATAATAATGATAGTAATGATAATAACAATAATATTAATGATAATAATAATAATGATAATAATAATAATAATAATGATAATAATAATGATAATAATAATAATAATAATAATAATAATAATAATAATAATAATAATAATAATAATAATAATATTGATAATAATAATAATAATAATAATGATAATAATAATAATAATAATAATAATAATAATAATAATAATAATAATAATAATAATAATAATAATAATAATAATAATAATGATGATAATAATAATAATAATGGAAATAATGATAGCAATGACAATGATAATAGCTATAACAATAGTAATAATGATGATGATAATAATAATAACAATTATGATAATGATAATAATAATGATAAAAAGTTATGATGATAACATTAATGAAGATAGTAATACTACTGCTAATGATAATGATGATAGTGATACTAATAACAATAAATAATAATAATAATAATAATAATAATAATAATAATAATAATAATAATAATAATAATAATAATAATAATAATAATAGTAATTATAATAATAATAATAATAATGATAATAATAACAATGATGATAATAATAATGATAATGATAATGAAAATAATAATGATGATAATGGCAATGATAATATTAATAATGATAAGATAATAATGATGATAATAATAATGATAAGATGATAATAACAATAATCATAAATATAAGAATAACAAAAAAATATTAATGATACTGATTTCTTCTTCTTCTTCTTCTTCTTCTTCTTATTATTATTATTATTATTATTATTATTATTATTATTAATTTTATTAATGTTATAATAATAATGATAAAAACATTGATAATAATGATAACGAAAAATAATAATAATAATTATTATCATTATTATTATGATAATAATGATGATAATGACAATAGTAATGAAAATAATAATAATTATTATTATCATTTTATTTGATATTCTTATTATTGTTGTTATTAATAT